TATATAATATAGTGGGTATATATATATATATATATATATAGTGGGTATATAAAGATAATCACCCCTCTTTAAAATATTCACATTTTGTTGCTTTGCAGTGTAATAATGGGAGTAATAATTGGCAAGATTTTCATAATAATATCTAATATTTCATAGGAATATTGATATATAATTTCTTTCCCTATTCACTTGTTGTGTCTCCCCTGAATGTGCTCTGTACAGGACATCCAACTGTGACATGTATGGTCACAGAGAAATTCGCTAAAATATAATGTCCTCTACAGAGGACAAAATCTCCATAGCTGGTAGTCAGGAAGATATCACTGAATGTCTAAAATAACGTGAGAAATCTATACCTTCAAGGTACCCAAATATGGTTGAAGAAATGGTCTTGATCCCACTTAAAATTTGCAGAACTGCTTCAGTGGCAATGTCCCCTGGATAAATGATTGCTACATCCAAGATGTCTATGCAGCATGGAAAGCATTAAACAGAAATCAGTGAGTCTGGCATGAGCAGCTGAAATCATTTTTCATTGATATGCTCAAATATGAATAATTATTTATTTATGCACAGGAATCAGTGACAATTGCAAATGTAGATTGAAATGTGTTTATCAGTAGGGCACTTCATGAGTCTCTGATTACATGTCAGCTCTCAGAGCAACAACGGCCAAATATTTCAGAAATGCAGGTACCTTCAAATAAGTGGAATAAGTAGCTCACTGGGGTTCTGATCCATTCTGTAGCCTCATCCAATGCAGTGCCACCATATTTCACAATTTCAGTGACTCCTGAATCTCCTGTATGGAAAACCAACATAATATAAAGCAAGTCAAAACTAAATAGTGTTTTAAACTGCTTATGAATGATGTTTAAATGCCACGAATGATTATATATACATACCACTGGCACTAAATATTCCTGACAGATAAGACACAGATGAATCAACTGCTAATCTAATAGCTTCCCTCGGATTAAATATTATTTCAGTGACGTACTCTGTATTCCAAATAAAAGAGCAGAAAAAATTGCATTAGTCATGGAAGTAATCAACAAAATATAATACTTCTCAAAGGATTGGCTTAGTCAAAAATGAAAATTCTGTCGTCATTTACACACCTCGTGTTTTGCATGCAATTATAATGAACTTGGCTTTCAAAAAGCACGCAAAAGCATCATAAAAGTATCAGAAAGTGGTCAATATTAGTCCTGCGCTAAATTCCAAGCCACAAGATATATTTGTGTGAGGAAAACATAAGAATCAACCGACTTCCGCCTCATTTAGTTCTCAGCGTGTTCATGTGAGAATTATTGGGGACAGCCGATTCCTGAATCAATCATTCTGGTGGAATCTATTCAGTGAATCGGTTGATTCGGTCTGAATCGTTCGCGAATAGAATTGATCTGATTTTTATGAAGGTAGAATGACGTCAAAAAGATTTGCATACGCAGGGTAAGAGTTGTGGAAGTGTACATAAGACTGTAAGCGTAAATTAAATTTGCATGCGCAAGAGAAGCTTTGTAAAGGTGTAAATCGTGTTTCAAGCGCAAGAAAAAAAGATTTGTATGCAAATCTTTTTGACGTCATTCTACCTTCATAGATTTTCGGGTTCAACTTTTACTGACTCAACTGATCCGGTCACAGACAACTAGATTGGAACATTATGTGTGACGGTCTGTTTTGTACACAAAGCTACTGTATGACTTTAGAATAGCACGTCAGTCGTTTAGATTATATGTGTTATACTTTAATGCTTTTGCAACCTTTTTTGAGGACTGAAAGTTTCAGTCATTGTAATTGCACTGAAAGCAATGAATTATTTTTTAAAGGGGTCATATGATGCAATTTCAAGTTTTCCTTTCACACCAAATACACTAAATAATGATCTTTAAAATAGCATCATATGACCCCTTTAAAGATGCTAATTACTTTCAGCTACTACAAGAAACTATTTGTGTTATGAAAGCATACCGTGAGCATCATAAAACATATTGTTCATATGGTTTATCCTGTTTTCAATGCCTTCAATGGCCTTGCTCACTGCTAGCACTGGATCAGAGCCGAAATCCTGGAAAACATGTACTGATATTTGTTGCAGCTGTTCTCTAAGAGCAAGATGCATGACTGACTTCACGCTTGCAAGAATAAACTGCATCTCCATCTTGTGTTATTTTCTCCCTGTTGCTTGAGTTTAATGACATCATGAACTAAACAAAGAAGCTAATTTTTACAAAAAGTCTTAATATTGTACTTGTCATTGCAAATATTGCATCACGTTTGCTAGATCCACCAAATTCACAAGTTCAAAATTTGGGGTCTTATAATGTTTTTGGAATAATGTTTTTGGAAGAAGTTTCTTATGCTCACCAAGGCTGCATTTATTTGATCAAAATTACAGTAAAAACAGTAATATTATTCTAATTTTAAATAACTGTTTTATAACTTAACATATTCCTTAATATATTACTGTGATGGCAAAGCTGAATTTTCATCTGCCATTACTCCAGTCCTCAATGCCACATGATCCTTCAGAAATTATATATCGTCATATATCAATATGCTGATTTGTGCTCCGATAACATTTATTTTTATTATCTATATTGAAAGCAGTGCTGTTTGTTTAATATTTCACGCTTTTTTGATGAAGAGAAGGTTCAAACAGCATTTGCACTGATATATCTAAAGAAATCTATACACTTAAAAGGTTATGAATATTTTAATTATGGACTTCTCTGTATTAATATTGAAAACAGGTTCTACATAAATGTTAATACAGCATATCATTTGTTTCAGCAGATCTGTTTGTGACAAAAACATGATCAACTGAGCTGTTAATTCATTCTTGTATGGTACCACAACAGCATTTATTGTGATTAAATCTTTTATTTTCCAAACATTATTATAAAATATCATAATATCTACTTTTTTTTTAATCATTTATTATTTATTAAGCTCTGTCTGTCAGTCAAATGCAGGAGATCATGAGTACAAAACCTGCAGTACCTTTAGTTGCCTGAGCCATGGTGGTACTTCAGCCGTGTTCTTTGATTTTGTTTGTGTAATCTTATTTGGACGCTTTCACCCAGTTAAATCCCACTCAGGAAAAGATGTTCCTCTTTGTTGTCCCCATCCAATCCACAGGTGAATCCTCACAATCTTGTGAGAAAAGCAGGATGAGGGTTTTCAAAGTGCCGGATTTGGGATCATGGCTGGGGGAGAATCAATGGGATGTTAGGCCAGGGCCGTAAACAGGGGAGTTCAGGCTCTGGCAGGGGACGCAGCAAATAGGTGCTGGTAATTTAGCCCATGTTATTGGTGCCTCACATGGGCATGGGACGGGAGAAATGCTGGGGTGCTTCAAGGTAACCTTAGCCACTGCAAGCCTGGTTTATTCTTAGACAGTGTAGCGTTTACCAGTTGCACTCTTGCCTTTTAGGTGATAGGGGGGTGTGATCTACTGGAAGAGAAAGAAAAGGAGACAGTTGCATGTTCACAGACTCAAATGTCTTGGTTTTTGATGTTTCAGATAATGTCATTAATTTAATGTAAGTACTATCAGTGACAATGCATCATATTATGTAATATCGCATCGCCACAGTAATCATGTTTTCAAAATAAAGTGTTTTGATGATTTAGATTAAATGAATAATTGGCATTAGGATCTAAAATTACACTATTTAAAGTTAATCATGCTTCTAATTAGCACTCTTTATCTCAAATCTCACTGCATATGGCTTCACTGGTGATTTTATAGAACAGATCTGAAATATAGAATTGCGGCTCCTATTTTTAACTAGGGAACAAACTAGTTGTGGACTTCCATGTGGTTGGATCAACATGTTTTGGCTGGAATGCAGTGGCCCTCAGCTGGACATGCAGGGAATTACAGGACTGCACTCCTGAAATAAAAATATAGCAGCAATATGGAAGGTGAAAACAGAACTTGTTGGCTGCTTGCAAATTGTTTGATTGATTAAAATGATACAAAAATACTACCATTCAAAAATGTTGGGATCAGTAATTTTTTTTAAGCAAGGATGCATTAATTTGATCAAAAATGACAATAAAGACTTTTACAATTTAAAGAAATTAAATATTAAAAATATCAAATTAATATTTAAAATAAAATATTTAATAAATTATATAAAATATTTAATAAATTATTTTTTTTTAATATGTAAAGAAATTTAAAATGGTTATTTAAATATAATGCAAATATAATTAATTCATGATAAATGCTGTTCCTTTGAACTTTCTATTAATTAAAGAATCCTGAAAAAAAAGTATCACTGTGTCCACAAAAATATTAAGCTGCTGAACTGTTTTTAACATTGATAATAATAAGAAATCTTTCTTGAGCAGCAAATCAGCATATTAGAATGATTTCTGAAGGATCATGTGACGCTGAAGACTGGAGTAATGATGCTGAAAATGCAGCTTTGCCATCACAGGAATCATTTACATTTTAAAATATATTAAAATAGAAAACATTTTTATTTAAATATAATAATATTTCACAATATTCATTTTTTACTGTTGTTTTTTAAAAATTTTTTATAAATGCAGCCTTAATTTGTGACCGTAAAAGACTAATTTCAAAAACATTAAAAAATATTACCAATCCCAAACTTTTGAATGGTCATTGCATTAAATAACTCAATGAAAAATGGCCACTAATGTTTTAGAGCCAGAATGCATCCATTTTTTTTAATCTCGAAGAACCTACAAAATGATCTTAACACAAAAGATACTCAATTATAATTTGATGATAGTTGAAAAAGCTAAAGTCTGAAAGAAATGGATTTGAATGACACTTTATTCTAAAAATGTTTGTGCATAAATGAAACAAAGCAATTAAATAAACACAATATTTATGAATTAATCCAAATATAGATGGTACAAAAATAAATGTGAAAATTGTGAGGTTGGATTTTAACACAAATGCAGCACATAATTTAAATTATAGGCCCAAATAAAAGCATCCTTCAGTTGAACCCCAAAATATTGACTTAAATCAACACCATAATTGCTCTTTGAATGTGGCTCATGCAAATATTGTCGCCAGGGATGGGCAGTATTTCAGATACATGTATTTAAAAGACGCATTTGAACTACAAAATACTTTTTTGTATTTTAAAGCCTTTGAAAAAAAATCTAATGTAATTTGCATTTTTGTCGCACACAGAATATGTGAGAATATCTTTGACCTACAGTAAGCATGTTCACAGAGAGTTCTGTCACTTCTTAAATGTGACAAAAAAGTAAAGAATGACCCAATAATGAATATTCAGACATGTCATTTTATCATGAAGGACAAAATGAGGGGCAAAAAACAAGGCAGACCAGCAATGAGTTATCTTGAGTGAAATTCTACCATTTCATAATATTTCTCTACGCATTTAGTCGTGTTATTTTATAATGCATGATCTTGTGAGATATATTTAATGGACTCGTTTTTTCTCTCTCACAACAGTAAGGATGTTAGCAGTCATTTTATATTATTTGCAGGAAAGATGCAAGTATGGTCAAGCATAATGCCCACTTGGTCTCTTACTATTCTGATACATACGCTGCTCTATTGTTAAACCAAAGTGACTAAATAGAAAATGCACTCATTCTAAGAAGCAGTAAACAAAAGATAGACATTGAGTGCTTGCTAAAAGCAGGTGCAAAATAATTAGGCCCAGCAAAATCACTAAAACCAGTGCAGACCAGTGCATTACCTTCTGTGAAAGTCACAATAATGTGTCAGAAATGCTACCTATATGCACTGCTATATGTCTCGGCTAAAAGGGAGTGTTTTGACACATACAGTTAATTTAATATACAACTGACAGAATTCCTTTAATATTTAAAAGAGGCTGGTCAGCATCCTACTGGAAGTGTCTAGGAATGATTTCCAGAATCATTGTAAATCTTAAAACGGTTGACACCGCCTCTATTGATCATGCTTTCCTCACAGCGTCGACTTTCTCGGCCTGGATAAGAACGCAAAACAGCATTATAAAAAGTAATAAAACAAGCCAAATACAAGGGAAAACTAAACACACTATTTACACTACATACAAACAAGCCATTCTTATCATTAAGTGTGACTGATGTCTCTCCCCAGAACTCTATTTTTGGCTTTACTGACAAATATAATGCGACTGCATGTCCTTTTTTCAATGGAAGATGAATTGTGTCAGATACAGGGTCGAGATGGCACAAAACTTGGAAGCTTTTCTCATCAAATGCTCTTTTGATCCGTTTTTTGAAGGGCAGTCTTTTGTGGCATACTCTGTAGTCTGGAGCTCCGTGTTTAGAGGTTGTCCCCGGGTTGGTACTGTGGTTCAGTGGCAGTGAAGTAATCCTCCAGGAAGGCTTGCAGATACTCAAAGGTGGGCCGCTCCTCGGGATCCCTCTTCCAGCATTGGAGCATGAGCTCGTGCAGGGAGCTGGGACAGTCCTGGGGACAGGGCATCCTGTAACCACGCTCTACTTGCTCCAAGACTTCTCGGTTGTTCATGCCTGAGGGACAAATGCAAAGCATGTGCTCTTTAACTGAAAAAAGCCGTGGGGCCCTCAAATTCCTGTATGATGCTGAGTTGTACTTTATTCACGCTCTTAAAGGGATAGTTTGCCCAAAAAGTGAAAGTGAAAAGTTAGTGGGGTCCAGTGTTGTTTTGGACCCCATATACTTGCATTGTAGGGACACAAACAGTTGAAGCATTCAAAGTACCTTCTTCTGTGTTCATCACAAGAAAGATAATCTTACAGGTTTGGAACTTTTTGTGTGAACTATGCCTTTAATTCTGTCATGGGTTTGGAACTCACCCTCATGCCATTCCAAACCCATAACACGTTGGCTAATCTTCAAAACGCAAATTAAGATATTTTTAAAGGGGACATAACACAGTTTCTGGCAATCTCATGCTAATCTTGAGTACCTATAGAGTAGTACTGCATCCTTCATATCTCCGAAGAGTCTTTAGATTGATCAGATTTATAAAAGACAGATACAGCTTTACGCTTCTCTCTCCGAAAACAGTAGAGCTCCTGGAGGAGTGCCGTGGGTGGAGCTTAAGAGTCACGAGCACACGAAGCGTTTGCGTAGCGATCATCCGCAAGCTGTGACATCAACATAAATAAAACAGGAACAAAGTCTTTATTGACCTAAATTTTAATATGTTTATAAAACATTTGTCACCGAAATGCCTGTTGCTGCCCCGGAGAAACAAACTGCATCCACTGTTCCCTTAACACTGGGTTCTTTGGGAAGCTGCAAGGTTATCTTACCCTCACAAGCAAAAACACACTTCTTTGGTGACTGTTGATTTTGTGGTCTAAAAAACAAAATGACAAATCGTCCCGAGCAACAGGCACGTGCACACATAGACATCAAAGGGGGCTTGAGCACCTGGCCTTTTTTCTTCCTCGAGAGAAAGTGCCCTTTTTTTCTGGGGAGTGTTTTTTTTTTTTTTTTTTTAATAAATGAATATATCTATATACTGTATGTGCACGTGTGTGTCACAGCTTTCCCTGTCAAACAAATAAAAAATCAAAATATCAGGTCGGGTCGGGAAATGTTGAGACTTTCTCCCCTCCGTGTCTCTGCGCAACACAGCAGTGTAGCACACATTGATCGGCGCATGTGCATCACAGACAGGCAGAGAGCAGCAGAAGTGTAGCCCTCCCTCCCTTTCCAGTTGTGTTTGTCAGTGTGGAGGTGAGTGGTGATGAACAACAGACTAAGCTATCTGTGCCTCGAATTTACAGCTAATTATCCAAAGACAAAAGGCAATTATAGTTAATTTGTCTTGCTAACATCCATGACTCATGAGAGAGTTAACATGTAAGTTAGTAGGTTAGACCAGTGTGCGTTCTTTCACTGCATAATTCAGTTTATTAAAATGCATTTAGAGTGATCACAAAATTCAAGAGGAATTTAGTATTAAGACACTTACGTTTTAGACACAATATTGAGTGTTTTTGCTCTATTTCTCTGGTTTCCGACCGCATCACAGCACAGAGACAGCGCTCATTAAGATAATAAATGATATTCGCTTAAATTCTGAA